CTCCGTAGGATGGCAGAGATATATCCGGAGTGGTGACGGGACTTCGTCAACAACAGTTCACCTCAACGGGTGGACTTCACATGAGTGGGGTTCTTCAGAAGTTCCACTCAGAGGTGGAAGATGTTATAATCCCAAACTCGGAAGAGCCTTATCATGGCTGGACTTCTGTTCTCCCAAACGACTGGAGCTACAAACTCTCCAGCCCGACTCCAACGGCAACTGCGACCCAACAGCAACTCACAGAACAGCCACTTCACAGAACTGGGAGAACTTGGAAGTACCGACATTTTAAAGAGCTCTATTTCCGGTTCATTTGGGAGTTTTCTTATTGGTCAATGTCGACCAGACAGGGGTGTGTTTTGTGACGTAAAAGGTTACTAGAAGTCAGAAAACAGCAAGAATGTTATGGAACAGATTGAAGATGTTTTCAGAGACAGAGGGAGAAATGTTTGGACGAGTTTGGAGAAACAGGTGCTTGCTTCTCTGTTTACGTCTGAGAGGATTTAAAAACAAGGCAGTTCGTTCCAACACTTGTCTGCTTCGACTCCGACCTTGGAGAAAACTTACACTTGCTCATTCACAGACAGAAAATCAGAAAATGCATAATTACTCTGTAACAGGCCTTAACATGAATTCTAACTTTGCATAAGCAACTAAAAATCATTATACTGTTTCACAGTTAATAAAAATTGATTAGTTCACTGAAACATCTAAAATGGTTTGAACTAAAACACTTTGATTATCAACATTTGTAAAATAGTAATGATAATAGAAAAGAGAGTGTTCTTTCACTTGTAGTTTCAATAAAGAAAGTCTCAGGATGAGTCAACCTGTATTTCTGGATTCAAATCAATGAAATGACAGTTTCTGTCCCACAAGGTCAAGTTTTGACATCAGGTCAAGTTCACTACAGTCCCCCCTTTGGAAATCATCGCCTGTCCATGGGGATGAATTCCAAACATGAACTTACGCCTTCAAATGTCCTTGAGCTTGATGTAATCCAGCAAGGAAAACAAAAGTCAAAAGTAATCCAGCAAGGAAAACAAAAGTCAAAAGTAATCCAGCAAGGAAAACAAAGTCAAAGGTAATTCCACAATGTTCTTGGTAATTCCATTGTAGCAATGCTTTAACCCCTTGGAAACAGAGTCTGTAATCCATTGGAAAAAGTCATATAATCCACAACGGTAAATCCACAACGATTGGAGCTATTGATTGATCAGCATACAGAGGGGTTCCCTTGGATTGAACTGAAGATGCGGCCACCGGATGAAGAGTGGAGACCAACGTCAGGATTGCAGGTCCCCTCCAGCGAAAGTCGTCTCTGGGCGACGTCCAGTCTGTGCCGTTCTGGTTCAAATGTGACATGCAATTATGTGGTTTAAGGTGGGCTTATGAAGGGGATTTTACATAAGGCCTTAAACTATATGCACCTGGTGTGTTAGCTATTATGGTTGGGAACAGCTACAACTACCAGTTAAGGGGTGGAACATGCTGAAAAGGGTAACTATAGGGGTTTATACCTATAGAAAAGGGTTCCAAACTATTTTTCCATTTCTAACTTGGTTTAAGTTAGCTTTACATGGCGAAATATAGTTTGGTTCAATTGTCTGTTTTCTATTAGACGAACGACTTGAGATTGGGTGTTTGGTTTCCCCATAAATGTTTTGGAAGTCTATGGCGAGACTCATCAAAAAGAATTAGCTATCCCCCCGAATAGAATTGTTCGAGTAGGTTCGGCTTAAGCGTTGTGAGACCAATGTAGATTATGGTACTTAAGGTAGCCATAATATACATTGACTCCGCAAAGATTGCAATTTAACGAATGAACTGCATGTTGGCATGGTTAAAGGCCTCTTGGTCTCTAACTTAACTACACAACAAAATTCATTCTTACCTCAGAAACAACCAAAACCAATTCAACAACGTTTCAACACCGACAAGAGTAGTGACTAAGCAACTAAAAACATCGTTTCACTGCTTCACCTCACCCTGGTTGTCAGATTCAGACACGCTGTCCCGTGTGAGTGGCTTCTTTGCAGACCCGCATACGCGGGACATAATCATATCGAGATGCGCTGCGTGGCGATCCAGGTCGACTCGGAGTGACGTGTGGCCCCGGAACAGGGATGCGAGTATCCCACACAATACGAGGGTTATCGTCATTAGCAGGGCTATGATTAACGTGTCCGCGCTTGACCACGCATAGGTAATTGGTTGGATCGGGTTCTTAATTGTGGACCTGAGGGACTTGAGAACTCGGTTTATTGGTTCCACGTCGACGACTTTGGTGCCTTCAAAACGGATCCTTCCCAGAGTTTCTGGATCTATGTCTATAGACATGTTCACCAGGTACTCTGAGTCATCCAGAGTCGCGTCCCATTGTTCCGGATCGAGGTGATAGAGCGTCAAATCACCAATGTGTATGGTTGTTCCCTGGGGAACACTGATCCACATTGTTTTGTCCGGTAACGTCAAAGGTCTATTTGCTCCAGGTTGATCGTAGGCTATGATCGCCTTTCTTTGAGGAGCGTTCACTAGCCAACGTGAGCCAATGATTTCCGCTTTTGCAGCTTTAGCCAGGTGTCGAGGCGTTACGGTCGTTGAGCACTTAGAATTTTTCGGAATAGGTGTCAACCCGCATAAGCCCGCGGTTTGATTCCAAACAAACGGCTTACTCGCGCATAGATAATGTATCTCCCGAGTGAGAACACACATCTGAAGGTTTGGAGCTAGATAAACTGAGGGGTTATCGTCATGGTATGCAACCATCCTTGGTGTGTCAATTTGAACATGGTTTTCACCGTGCCAATTGCCAACATTAACAACGTCCCTGAGTCTGTATATGCCATTTGAGGGAATTATCGGTAGGTTGATAACGAACGCCATTTCAAACGTTTTGTGATTGACGTAGATTGGGATTGCGCTACCGAGAGTGTAAGCCAGGTGAGCCTGTATTTGCGTGACTCTTTCGCGCGTAGCGGAGCTGAGGATGTCGTTCACCATCTGTAGAGAGACTAGATACGGTGGGATCCTACCGGTGGCTAGTGTATCTACCGACGAACTGATATCTCTAAGCATGTCAGCAAAAATCCTATCCATTAGGTGTGCGACAGCGTAATCCACTTCAACCTTAAGGGCTAACTCATTTACCGCATGTACGAGGGCTTTGATTTCTTGGGTGTGAGTATTCAGCACTAGAACAGTATCCTTTACGGTTTTAGTCACCTGTGTCAATTGTGTTAGTTGAAGGTCCATTTGCGCTCGGATCTTTGGGACCTCGCTCTCTACTTCATACACATGTTGTTTTAGGGACGTTATACTGACAGTGTTATATGCGGACAAACCCAGGCTAAACAGCGATCCGAGTGAGGAAGCAGCGAGTAAAAGCCCGCCGATGTCGCGCTTTTGCCTTCTACGTGTTCCACCCAACTCTTGTTGGGTGTAGGTGAACTTATGTAGTTGCTTCAGGACGTGTTGGATCTCTGCTTTAGCACCCTCTAGGGATACTGTGTACCATGATTTGTTTAACCACTCATTTTTAATGTTAATGTGTTGTTGGATCACGGTTTGGGGGTCGAAGCGGACGAAGACCTTTCGAGTGTATAGGCGGCAATCTGTGATGAGCAGTCCCGGCTGGTCCCGCAGAGCGATGCCTGAGGTGGGCCCAAGGGTTACGATCTCGGCTTGCCCTTCTTGGGTGGCACCCAAGAGGGTGAAGATTACCAGGAGTGGTACCATCATTGTCCTATGGAAACACAAAGAGATAGGTCTTAGCTTCTTAATTGTCGGGGGTAGGACCCGCAAGTTTAAACTATGGTTAAGTTTATTATCCATTAGTTATCTTCTGCTTGGATGACCCTTATTCCCACGAGGTCAGATTTTGTGAGATCTTTGTCTCCTGAGGAGTTATTGCACGCCTTGTGTGGTTTAACCTGGTTACGATGTACCCATTTAACAGTTGGCTCTTTTTGGCCTTTACTGATTTTTAT